ATTGTTGGTCGAATGCTTGTGAAATTGTTGAAAAATGCGTTCGCTTTTACTCTTCTTTTTAATACTACCTGAACGCTTTTCACCAGCACTGCCCAACTCAGCAATCGAAGAAGTTGATGAGCAACTATTACTTGAATGTTTCTTACTTTTGTGCGGCAGCAGAGCAAATGAACGGGATTTGCTGCTTATTATGCTGCTACTCTCTGAGTGGTGGTCGGTATTGCCGCTTGCGGTAGATATATTGGAATTCTGACGTGATGCCGTGAGTACACCACCACCGCTAATCGGTTCATCACCGGATATTAGTTCATAACCAAAGTCACGCAGTTTCAAACCTTCCTTGGTGCGAGTGCGACGTATATCTTCATCGGTCGGTTTAAAACTAATTTCGTAATCAGGCGTTTTCGGCAAACTACGATTCTGAGTTTTGGACAGTTTACTACTTATACTGCCGGCACAACTGTCATTGCAATCACCACCACCATTACCGCCACAAGCTCTACTCTGTTGGATGTCTTTCTTTTCGACACCCAGCAACACACGATTGTTATACATCTCTTGCGCCTCCTCCTCCTGTTTACGCAGCATTAGATCTTTCAATGTGATAAAGGTCTGTATGTTATGATGTGCATCCCACGAATTGGCCGAGTTTATTTTTGGCAACGAATAGTCAAGTGTTTTTGAAGTTTGAAAATCGAATTCAACCAAATTTGGATTGGACGCATGTATAAAGTTGTATGGTATTTTACGCATTGATCTCGATGATATGCTTGAAGTTGATGTGGAATTACTGAGCGCACCAGGTGATTGATGGTGCGCGGAATAGGAGGCATTGCGCTCTGGCACCGGCGCTGGTGAGGACGGCGGTCCTAAGCAGGATTTAGACAACATCGAAGAGTTGAGTGAAAAATCTGTGCCGTTGCTTACGATTGAGACGTGACTTGAGGATATCGAAAATTTACGCCCTGAATCTTCGTGAGTTGGTAGTGGTGGGGGCGGTGCTGCCGTTAACGGTACCAATTGTGGCTGTGAAGTATTCACGCCATATGTAACAGAATTATTACTTGGCTGTAGTTGAAATGATAGATCGTGATGATAGCCTGGAGTATTGGTGCCAATTTGCAGGCCAAAACTGCCGCCGGGAACTTTTCGATAACTACGATACTGATCTGTGGGCACTGGAATGTCACTCGAATGTTTCTTCTCACTTGACGATATGCTGCTTTTAAATGGTAATGTGCCCTTTGTTAGCTTACGCAATGAACCCAAATAACGACGTTCCTGTTTTGGCTGCGAAGTGTTGGGTGTGGATGTCGCGGCTGCTAAATTAGCAATGATATCTTTCCCTGATGATTGCGGTGAGGGTGTGCATAAATTGCTAGATACTAGGGATTCCGTTTCTTCGCCAGAACTATCGGTTTCAGAGAACAAATCTTTCGTGCTGATGTCTTCTGCTGTGCTGCCCGATGAGAGTTGCCGCATGTTGTGCGAATTTGGCGGTTGTGTGTGCAATGTGGCTTGTTTAAGTAATTCCACCCACTGATTCAGCGCATCTTGCGACTCCACCGCGAAATAGAATGTTTTCGCTGCGTGATATACTTTGAAGGCGTGCGGTTTCGAATGCACTTCCTGTGGATATAAAAACGCATACTAAGACATTTATAATCAATGATGTTATTGAATATAAATTTACCTTAGCTAATGATACTGTAAATCCAGGTAGAAATATGACACAACTAGCTTTCGTTGCTTCCTTCGATCGAAAGCCGTAAAGGATAGTATTCAGCATAACAAAATATAGCCGAGCCCAAAATGTTACGCCTCGCCTATCTTTCGTACGTCTGTACAAATGACCTTGTATATCACCTGTGCCAAGTACTTTCAGGTTAACATTACGTCTTTTATTTACTAAACTATGTTTTTTCTTCAGCGACAATGTGCGACTTTTTGTTGGAGTATGCAATTCGTTGACTTGCCCAGGAGTATTCGGCACATTAATATTGGTGTTGGTCGTATTTGTCGGCGAAATCACCATTGACGGCATTGCAGGTAAGGGTAATTGCAGTGGAGTATTGATAGATCCTTCTGTATTTACAGAGGATACATTATGTTTTTTAATGTTTGCAGGAGATTGCAATGCCGTACCCATCAGACTGAGGGGTTTTGGAGGGGGTGGTGGTACTGGTTGCGGCGACATATCTTTTTGTTTACGTGGACGGGGTGGTGGCACAGGAGGAGTTTGTTGTAGAAACTCTTTTCGTGGCTCAATAGCGGGAGGTGTTTCACATTCTACACCTGTGTTGTCGTAGGCCGGAGTACTATGGCTTTTATCTAGACGACCTCGGCGAGCTACGATAGATACGTTTATTGCTTCCACAACTTGACTTGCAGCAGCTGCGTCGGGCAATGGAGCCGGGGGTTTGGGTGTGGTTGGTGTCGTTGTTGGCGTTGACGTAGGCAAATCTGATGCTTTGACTTCGCGCACAGCATTACGTTGCATATCCAACACATCTTCATCCTCTTCATCCGCAAAGAGTATTGGCTCAAATGTTTCTAATATAGTATTTTCAACATTGCAAGTATATTTTTGATCCACCGGATAGTCTTCATATTTCATATTAGCATCGAAGCGCACAACTTTGCTCACTCCTGGCTTTGAGCGCTCCATAGAATTTTCACCATTTTCTGTGCCATCGGCATTAGTTTTGGATTTGCTGAATACATCTTGTATTTCGTCATTTTTGCCACCCATACCTATGCAGGTTTTCGGTCGTGAAGTTAACTCCAAACCGAAACCAAATGACTTGCATTTATCTCGTAAACTTGGTGACGACGGATCGCATACAATTCCGGCATTTGGTTTGTGATGCTGAAACGCATCATTACTGCATTTCAGATCACCACTGATTGTATGTCGACGTTGTAATACTGTACGGGGTTTTTCGTAATACAGACGACTACGTTTCTCTGACGGTTTGGTTTCTGTAGGTGAAGATGTGTCACTACAATTGGATTCTGTGTCTGAAGCAGTCGTGGCTGCTTTTTCTTCAGACTTCAGCGACAAAAGCTCAAACGCAGCTTGATTGGTAGGCACAGTTAGAAAACCAGTTCTTGCGGGAGGTAAGTTTTCACCCCAACGCGATCCAACAGTGCGTTTTTTACTCGGCAAACGATACGGTTGCATATAAATTTGACCATAGATTTTTGTATGTTTTGGGCGCTTTTTTAATGTTAATAGCACATCAGTTGGTGATACATGCAACTGGTGCCAAACAGTTTTACCCTGCCACCCTACTACTGTCTGATAGTTAATCTGCACAATTTCGTCACCGTATTCTATTTTTCCAGAAGTATGGGCTGGTGAATTATACTTAATTTCGGTAATCCGATGAACACCATGATAATTGGATTCAATCTCAAAGCCAGGATCCATCTCTCGCTTCTTTACCGTAACGAGATTTAGTGATGCTGGTTGCAAAAGCATAGGATCTGATATATCTTGTATAATATAATTGGCAAGTCGTTCAAGCTTCTCCGCTGTCCCACGTATTTGATCTACAGGACGTTCCACAAAACGATCTCTCTGCGCCATGGTAGCCATTTCAAGCCCAAGACGTAGTAAATTTTTACAAATTTCTGTAAATTGAACCTGGCCTTGAAAGGGTGCGCGTTCCAACCAACCTATCAGAGGTTTTATAGTACCAATAGTCCGCGTAATGTCACTCAAAATTTGTGTTTCAATTTTGGATGAATCACTATGTGTAACCAATTGTCGATGCAAGCTGTGTGCAGCTGTAGCAACATGCAATGCCATAAATTGAAGATTTTCTTTATCTAAATTGTAATACTAAAAATAACACAGTGAATCCGATTATTATGACTATAAAAATAAATGTGCAAACTTACGAAATTACGCAAATTTTCAACAGCTTCCAAAACAATTTCCTGATGACCTATAGAGTACATTCCTAGTTGCTCCAATTCGTATGGACGTATATTTAGTAGTTGACGACCACCTACTTCATTATTTGTAAAAGATCTAATGTAGTGCTCCATTGACTCATCTAAACCTACAAAGTTAATTAAATAATTTCAATTGATATTGTATATGTACGAATCGGGAGTGGCATTTCTTGCTACAAATATATTGAACACTAATGTACCAATACTTTTGTTTACCATATATATTTATAGCCTTACCCTTCAGCCAGTCGGTCACCTGGTCTGTCGTCCATTCTACAACGTTAATATATGCCATTTTTGTGGTATATTTAACAAACACTGAGGCCTAATTTTCCATTTAAGATAAATTAAAAATAATGTAGTGCAAAATTTGTCCGTTTCTCAGTCCGTTCCGTAAACTACACCCAGCACTTGATATCAGCTATCTTTTGGTGATTAACGATTTGTAGCACCATTTAAAACTACATTGTGCAGTCTGAATATAGAACCACCTGATCAAAAAATACACAATTATTAACTGAATTCTAGTATAATAAAAATTATCCGGATGGAAAATGTTAATATAAAGTATTTGTATACGACTTCGTAATTCCGACCAGGCAGACAACAGTAGAAAATCCGCTAAATTATTTCATTTCCACATAACTGAAATTTGACAGTTCACTGTCAAAAACATAATGTTGCAAAATTATTCATAAACATAACGCTACGTTTCCACACAAACTGAATTCTATTACTGAAATCAGAAGTTGATTCATGCCCAATTTGATATGCATAAAATATGACATTATTAATTTCTAGTTTATATAAAAATTCAACTCAACAAAACTTCTATTTAAACAATTTCCTAAAAATGTTCGACAATCAAGTTGTATTCCCTTATTTAAATAAAGTTTAACACATTTTGATTAGTATTGAAATGAACAGATATATAATCGTTTTATCGTTAAAACTAGTATTTACTTATATAAAAAATTTGTGAAAATTGATGACGTCTGGCAATGCCACAACTTTCAGGTAAAATCATTTTCTTTATTTATTCTGTGTGAATCGTAGCGCGTGCCGAATTGTAAAAGAAATGTCGGTATCTTCGTCCACACAGGGAAAACAAGTTAAATTTTACCCTTCCAGCTCAGCCAGCTCCGATAGGTAATTACCAATCGCTGTGCTTAAAAGTGAACAAATTAATTTTAACAAAGTGATCGGCGAACACATAATTATATACATATATGTATACTGTATCTAAATTCAATGTGTTGTTGTTTTTGTTTTAATTGCTGTCGTTGTTTGTGCAAAGCAGAGGCATTCAGTGCGCAATAAACGATTCAGCTTCACAATTGTAGAATTTATTAATGAAAAGTATAAAAAAGAAATGCAATTTAAACATAACTACCTTGACAAATGCATATAATACTGGGTTCCTGTTTCGCGTTAAAAAAAACACGACTCCTATACAAAGAAACTGCATCTACATATGTGCATATATGTACATTTGTGCAATCAGCCAGTCTGGCAGACACAGAGTGCAACACACAGCGTGTCAATTTAGCTTTTGATACATTTAATCTGGATAAAATAGGACGTGTAAAAAAATTAATTAGTCACAGTCAGTTGAAAAACATATGAAGTTGAATATAATTTTGCATTCATATAAACTATACTGGCTGGCATACTGTCTTATGATTTGCATACATCAAAATAAAATTTAATTTTGCTCCAGCTTTCCGCCGTGCTGTGCATAAGTGATAGATTGGTATTCACTGCGTACAGAAAGTTTTTCTTTAAGACCGGTGAATATTCTATATAGTGGCAAGATCGCTTGTTTTTTGTTTTGTTTCCTAGTTACATTAAAACATCATGAGTGGAGAAGTTACTATGCCACACAATGGAATAGTATGCAAAAGTGAGATCATGAAGAAAATTGACAGCAGCACGGAGATGTCCCTCATCGAGCAGCCTGTTAAAAAATTACCGTCAGTAACAATATCTACTGCATCAGTGTCTAAATCATCCACGTCGTCATCTTCGTCAACTTCATCACATTTTTCGTGCACCGCCGATAGCGGCAGTGGTAGTCTCATGTAATTTGAACATTTCACCATATTTATTCATATTGAAACTATTTATCTAGTACTTATGGTTTTTTATTTCATCAGTTATTTTAAGAGTCATACGTAGATAGGCACAAATCTTTTATTTCTCTTTAGTTTATACCTTTTATATTCACATATAATTCTGTGGTAAAAGTTTGTAAACCTTTACATAAAATCAATTAACATTTCTTTTGTTCATATTCCCATTTGGTGTATTTGTAGACATTGTACGTTTGCATGCTAACTTGTTAGTATTTGTTTTGATAAATCCTTTGAAGAAATCCTTTTTTTAGATTTACAATTAGATGGTTATATGAGTAGCGAGAACTTCTTTGTGAAATTACTAAATACTGCAGCCGTTTTGGTACATAAAATATATTATTAAAATGTTGTTTAAGGTATACATGTTGTTATCAATTTGTGTTGACACAGCATTTGTTTGATGGCAGAATTTTTTGTATGTGAAAGTTTTATTAGCATCGTATCTACAATTAAATATTGTTGGTGTTGGAAAATTTGCTTTTACACATGTTTGTATGGACACATTCACGAATACAAGCAATATCTTTGTGAGGTTATACCTTAAATGTTATCATGCATTTTTTGTAAGCAATGCGGCATTTTACGTTTGGTCTTTCTTTGTGGATTCTATAAATACACTTATGTATAACGAAAAACGGCCAAAGCACATGAGAGAGGATGCTAATGCACATGTTGCCGTCGATGATATATGTATGCCGGTAAATTGAACCAGTGATGCAATTTCATATTAAAACCCACCATAAATGTTTGTATATATTCCTCAGAGCATACTTTAATTAAAATCCAGAAATCAAAAAAATTACTGTAAATTAAAGTAAATAAGGTTGTGAAGCCGGTTTGCTGCATATAAATATTCAACAAAAATAAATTTGTTGTAATATCAAAAAATATGCATGTACATATGTATGTGTGTCTTTATCTGTTCATTCTATATATTCATAAACTAAAATATCTTTAGATCCTTGCGGCTTCCGATCATATGTTGCATTATTATAACTTGACATAGATATTTATATAAAAGTTAAACATATTTTAGCTATCTATCTACCACATTTTTTTATGTATGCCAATCTACATTCACATACTCGTAGACATATTCGATTGCGTGAACATAAGTCGATGGTTATAAAAAAATATTTGCGCAAAGAAGAAAATCCCAAAAGTTAATGACCTATATTCAATTGCGTTTTCAAAATAAATGCTGAGTGTGTCAGTCACGGTATACAGTCATATATTTGAAATACATACATACATATGTATGCCTATAATTTCCATAGCTATTTATTCAATCGAACGTCGTCTCGTACATACATACTGGCTAATAGAAATTACACCATAAAAACTTATGATCGATTAGCGATATGCTGTAGCTTTTTTAGCAGCGTTATTAATAGTATATCGGCATAAAAGCAAATAAAACATAGAAAGTATATTTTAACCTATTTGAGGTTTGAAGACATTCATAATCATTATACCCTGAACGGGGTATATTAAGTTCGCTACGATGTTTGTAACACCCAAAACGAAACGTGGAGTCCCTTTAAAGTATATATGTATGTAAATGGTCACTGTGACGAGCTGAGCCGATTTATCGTCGCTCAGGTTTTGAGATAACGATCTGAAATTTTTCATACGTCCTTTTCTCACCAAGAAGCTGCTCATTTGTCGGAACCGCCGATATTGTTCCACTATAGCATATCGTTGCCCTACAAACTGAACGATGAAAATCAAGTCCTTGTATGGAAAACTTTTTAATTTGATAAGTTATCTTCCTGATATTTGGCACAGAGTATTATCGCTACAATCTCCGAAGTAATTGTTTAGATCGGACAACTATAGCATGCGAGTATATTTAACAGTCATACACACTGCCCGATCAAAATCAAGGTAAATGTCTTTTTATTTACTTTAACGCTATTGCATGCACTTGTGAAGGGTATTATAACTTCAGTGCAGCCGAAGTTAACATTGTTTTCTTGTTTCATTTTAATTATATTAAAATAATAATTTATTGAACTGATTTGACTAATTAATAGTTTTTAGAAATTGAAATTTCATTTCCATAATGGGTTTTCTCCAATGTTGAATGAATAGATTTAGTTTTGAAAAACTTGGTTAACGGTGCATAAAACAAATTTTTCGACAACGCTGTGCTAAGCAAGCAGAATTTATTTATTATTCAATGGAATGGAATTCATGATAGCTCTATATCGACCGGAAACTTTGCTTATTGTGCGCATTTGAAGTAATCAGGTAGACATTTGTTATAAATGTTTAATAATCAGAACCATTTGCTTAACTTACGGTGTTGGTACTCCAAATATGTATATGTTTGTATATTCTATCTTTTCAAAATATCAAAATATCTCTTCATTGCAATGCATATTATCATAACTAAAGTAAATTTACGCTTAAGAAACTTTTTTATTTTTACCGTTTCAATTACAGTGATGATCGCTCAGACTTAACGGAGCAACTTTACATTGATCCAAATCTATATGTAGACATTGGTAATGGGGATTATTGTTGCCCCGCTTCACCTACCACTGTACCCGGTCGAATAGTGTCATCAAATTCATTGGAGTCACCAGCACGGACCACTCCATCACGACCGGCCCGCCGCCAACGCACTACTTCAGTTAATAGTCAATCGACCACCGCCAATCCGGCAGAGTGCATTATACGTGCCAATAACCGTACTATTTACACAGCTGGACGTCCGCCATGGTACAATTGTGCCGGTCAGCAAGTAGAACCATTCGTTATTGGTGAGTTTAGACGTTGATTAGAATAGCGTTTAAATATAGACTACGTAATAAAATTGATGTGTATGTTTTATCAGTTATAAATCAATTATAGAAATGATAAAAATTTAAAGTGACAATGAAATTTATATCTTGCGCAGGAGTTTGCGGTGGCAGCGCATCCGGTAAAACAACAGTTGCACAAAAAATCATCGAGAGCTTAAGCGTACCATGGGTGACATTGCTTTCCATGGATTGTTTCTACAAGGCAAATATAATACTAATGTTAATCCACTGAGCTGCTTATTTACAATAATATATGCTTTAATTTTGTACAGATGTTAACAAAGAAACAACACGAACAAGCGTTATTGAACGAGTACAATTTCGATCATCCAGACGCATTCGATATAGACTTATTGGTGGAAGTGTTAACGAAACTAAAAGAGGGCCGCATGGTGGAAGTGCCCATATATAATTTCGTAACACATTCACGTGAATCAAAGACTGTGAGTAGTAATCTTTTACATTTAGTTTGTAACTTTTTAGTTCATATTTTATATCTTACAGAAACCTATGTATGGCGCTAATGTCATAATTTTTGAGGGTATTTTAGCATTTCACAGCCCAGAAATACTTAAACTCTTAGATATGAAAGTATTTGTAGACACTGATGCAGATATACGTTTAGCAAGGCGTCTAAAGAGGTGAGTACAAAATAAAAGTACACAATTTGAAGACAATACTCTTACCACAGTTATTCGGTTGTGCAGCATATAGGCATATAAAACAAGAAGAAGAAAAAACGTTAATTTGCAATGCACCGAAGTGAAGACCTTTCACAGGTAAAGAAGTTTCCTTGATTGTGTCGTCTGATTTGAACAATTTCTTCGGATATCGTAGCGTTGCCTTGGACAATAATCCATGCCAAATTTCGTGCATATATGTATCTCGACAAATAAAAAAGTTTTCCATGCTAAAACTTGATTTTGATGGTTCAGTTTGTATTTTATCCATACGCTACAGAGGTCCAATATTGTTGGTTCCGACAAATAAGCAGCTTCTACGGGAGAAATGAACGTGTGCAAAAGTTCAAATCGATATCATAAAAACTGAGTAACTTGTTCGCATATATACAGACAGACATGATAAATCGACTCAGCTTGTCATGCTACTCGAGAAAATATAATATATTTATTCTTTGAAACATGTTGGACTTCTTATCATAGTTTTGTTCATATACTGATTATATCTTACACCTACAACTCAATGCGATTGTCACACTGATATAAATATTAAAATATCAAGTATGATGCGAATATCTGTTTGTCCGTTTGCCGGACAGTCAAGTAAAACTTATATGCATAAATATATATATTGTAATTTCATTTATGAGTAAATAATAAAATATACATTTAAATTTACCGTAATGCATGCTTAAAACGAAAATGATTAGTATGAAGTAATTAAAAAAAAATGTCTTTCACAGAGACATTTCACAACGTGGGCGCGATCTCAGTGGTGTACTCAAACAGTATTTAACCATGGTGAAGCCTTCTTATGCCAATTATATAGCGCCAACAATGGCTCACGCTGATATTATCGTGCCACGCGGCGGCGAAAATAAAGTAGCCATACATCTCATTGTGCAACACGTGCACACACAGTTACAATTGGTTAGTTATATGTGCCTATAATTCAATACGCTTAATAAAATAAACTTTTTTTTAAATATTTTATATAGCGTGGCTTCAAGTTGCGTGAAACATTAGTGAATTCCTATAAAGATCAACCAATGCCAGAGTCGCTACATCTACTGCCACCAACACCACAAATCAAAGGACTGCATACTTTTATACGTTGTCGTGGTACTTCCAGAGATGAATTCATATTCTATTCTAAACGTCTTATACGTCTGGTTATTGAATATGCATTAAGCCTTTTTCCATTCAAAACAACAACTGTGGAAACACCCCAAGGCGTGCTCTACGAAGGTAAGCCAATCCTACTTAAAGCGCTCACAAAATCAACACAAACCAGGCTTATATATGTATATGGTATTAACTTAATTTTCATTTAATACTGTAGGCAAACGTATGGGTTCTCGTAAAATATGTGGCGTATCTATATTGCGTGCTGGCGAAACAATGGAACAGGCTATATGTGATGTTTGCAAAGATATACGTATCGGCAAAATTCTTATACAAACTAATCGAAACACTGGTGAACCAGAGCTATACTATTTGCGATTACCCAAAGATATCAAGGATTACAAAGTCATTCTGATGGATGCCACAGTGGCTACAGGTGCTGCTGCTATGATGGCTTTACGTGTGTTGCTTGATCATGATGTGCCAGAGGAGAATATAATATTAGCTTCTTTGTTGATGGCTGAAATCGGAGTTCATTCGATTGCGTATGCTTTTCCGAAAGTTAAAATTGTAACATCTGCACTGGATCCTGAAGTAAATGATAAGTTCTACGTGATACCCGGTATTGGTAATTTTGGCGATCGCTATTTCGGTACTGAACCTTCTGATGACTACCTTTAACTATTTAGATTAAAAAATTAACTTAATAAAATATAAAAAGATAATATGAATTGAATCGGAAATTTTTTACTACATGCAAATTGACTCGCAATCGAATTTTAGCTATCGATATATGCAATTTCCTCTAATGAAACACTCACAGATTTAAATTGGATGTCTTTTATGTATATTGACTTTATTATTAATTCTTTATTCTTGTATAAATTGCTACAAAAACTTCGACAACATTTGTACAACTAAAGCTACTAACAAGAATATCAGCCCAAAACCAACATATTTCCTTATGACATCCTCATTTCCGCCTTGCGAATGCGTACTAGTTTTGCCATTTTGAATGTGATCATTATTTTCCTGTATTACAGCACAGCGAGTCCATTCAGATTCATCATCTATTATTTCGGCTATCATACTGAATTTACTGGTATCGGTTATTCGTACTCGCACCGCAGTGCCAAGTAGATTTTTTCGCATAGGCAACAATATTTGTTCATAGCTTTTATTATGCCCAACGTAATGTTGCTTGTCATGTGATATTTCTGTTACCAATACAGTGTAATGTTCACCTTTGCGGCCATCATATGGGGAATAGCTGTTAAAGAGATCCGTTAACCGTTTAGTGCGCTTCTTCACCAGATATGCTGGTATTCGTTCCATCTTGGCAGCAGGTGTACCAGGACGTGGAAAGAATTGATTTATAAAGAGACTAGGAAAGCAATATTTAGCGCACATTTCCATTGTTTCCTCGAAGTCTTCTTCCGTTTCAGTAGGGAAACCACAAATTATGTCAGTGGCGATGGTTACTCCAGAGACACGACTACGCAGGAAATCTACTACATGCTCAAACTCGCTTCGGCAATACTCGCGTTTCATTTCACCTAAAACGGAATCACTCCCACTTTGCACCGGTATATGCATAAATGCATAGACTCTTGGATGATTCAGAACCTTTGCGATTTCCTCAAGGTGCTCTAATATATACGGTGGATTGGTCATGCCCACACGCAGCATACAATGTTCTGGTATAACTTTAACTAACTGCCACAAAAGTTCAGGTAATGATGACCCAATGTCTCTGCCATATGCCCCCGTGTCCTCCGATGTTAACCAGATTTCGCAACAACCCTCAGCAAAAGCTTGAATAGCCCGATCAACAATTTCTTGTGGAGGATAGCTAACAAGATCACCACGAGCATGTTTAGTTTTGCAATAGGTGCATTGATTAAGGCAGCCAGTGTTTATGGGTATAATTTCAATTAAAGGATTCTTCCGCACCTTAGGTAGTGCTAATCGTGCACCGGCAACACGTTTTCCATGTTCTTTTTTGTTCTGTAATAATCGCACACTATGACCCTTCAATGTTTCTTCCACTACTTCAACAACCCGGTCAATCTGCTGCACTCCAATGACCGATAGGCCATGTAAATAATCCGATTTGGGTGCACCTTGCGGGACGCAACCGGCTACGACAACGTGCTTTCCATTGGCCATGCCGGACTTTATTTCATTTCGAAATGTATCTTCTGAAGGATTCTTTACCGTACAACTATTAAGTAACCAGAGATCCGCATTTTCCTTTTGATTCGTCAGATTGTAACCGTACGCAGCCAATTGACCAGCCATATACTCAGAATCAGAATTGTTGTGCGCACATCCCCAGGTTTTTACGTAAACGGTCTGAGTTCCTGGTATAACACTCTCGTAAATTTTTCTTTCTGGTAACTGCCGCTCCGCCGATTCGCCATTGGAGTCACTAACAATAACTTTACTGCGCTTTTTAGGACGTACAGAAACACTTTTCTTATTTTTATAACGATCACGTGGCTTTACATCTTCTTCTGATATCAGATCCTCTATATCCTCGATGTTATTTTCCGGCAAATCTTCCATTATAGCCTGAATTTCGTCGGGCATTTTTGACGTTCCACCATGTGTGAGTATTTTGTTAGTGTTGTGTTAAATTGATGTTTACTAAAATCGCCTAGAGATTTATCATTGGATCGCGTTATTCGATACTTTTGAATTTTATCGATATGTTGAAATTGAAAAGGGTTTCCTATTGCTGTGTTTCCATAAATAAGAACTTTATTCAATCGGGGACCTATGGAAACTTATAACGTCGGCTTGCTTACCTCCACTAAATGCCACCTTAAGACCTCTGAGCTACACCTATTGGTTGAGGTCCGATTACTTTAAGGAAACTCTCTTTTCTAGGCATTTCCTCAGCTAGATGTTATAGGCTAAATCACACCAACTTCAGCCAAACAAGAGGAAATTAGGAAAAAGTCCACACACCTATATTTGTAAGTGGCGGGAAGATTCATCAGAACTCTTTCGACGGTTTATACAGGACACCAAATACTAATTATGTATTTATTATTCTTTGAACTTGGCCAACCAACAGGAAATATTTTTATTATGACTTGTCCAATTCGAACAACTTAATTACTCTTAAGACTATGTTAATAATTCTATTTGGTATTTATGATTTCGTATGTCACGTTTCCTTGATTTCATTCTTGCAAATACTGCAAACTGTTATTGGCTGTCGTCGTCCTCGCCCTATTTGCTCTCGTTCACGCTGCCGCTTATATTTCGCTACTAGAGCCGAGTTATTCAGATCGGGACTACGTGGTGTTTTTGTACAACAGCAACAGCAAACACAATTGAAGAAACTCAAGGGTACCGCTTCACCCTCCTCAATGGTCTGTGGTAAATTTTTGCCTCGCGTTTCCGGTAGAAACAGGCTCGCTAAGCCACCGATTATTAAAAGCGTTCCCATTATAATTAACGGTAATACAAGCATACGTTGGCCCTTAAAGGATTAAAAGCGCAGAAAATGTAGAAACGACTTGGTAACAGAAGGTTTGCTTACTTTACTTACCATGTGATTAATAATGGGTATGACAATCGGTCCGATCATCGCAACAACCGAACTGAAGCTCATACCCAGGCCACGCACCACTGTTGGGTAGAGTTCAGAGGCGAGAAGCGGTAGCACAACAAATGCCGACGAGATTCCCATCTTGCCGACACAGTATAGCAACAACATTACCTCCGGCTGCTCATCATACAACAATGTCAGTACGCAGGCGACACCTCCCACCAACATAGAAATGCACAATATCCAGCGCCGTCCAAAGTAGCTTAAACCTGGCCACAACATAATATAAGTGGGCAATTCTACAACACCGGCCAGGAAAAAATTCCATATCTCATCACCACCCAAAGCTGGTGCATAATAGCTTAAACCGACATAGACACTGGTGTTTGCAAACCAAATTAGTGTGATAATTAAAGTTTTGTGACGCATATTTGTAGTGCGAAATAAATCCATAATGCCATAAGATGACTCTGATTCCCTTCCTATTACCGCATCTGTTTGCTGTAATTTCTGTTGCACAATTTTTACGAAATCTGGCGGAATGTTATGACCGTTGACCCGAGCTATGGTTTTCAAAATACGTGCTGCTTCTCGCGTCTTACCCACTGCAATCAGCCAACGTGGCGACTCGGGTAGCACGAAGTAGCAGGAAAAAAGCAATAATAAAGGTAGTGAGACAGTCAGTGTGAGAAAGCGCCAATCCCGTATAAGATAGACTATACCAGCCAATAGTACTAGACCACAGGAGTAAGCAATATTGGAGACAATTGTACAGAAGACGCGTCTATCAGGACCAACCAGTTCAATAGCTATATCAAATAAATATAGAATAACTAAATTATATGTGTACAACATCCTACCTAAAACGTAGGGACTTGCGAGTATAGCTGGCACGGTAAAACCCACCACGAAACGCATGCCCAACCATGAGTAGTAGTTCCATGCAAAGGCACTAGCCGCGCATGCGACAATTTCTATAATAAGATATACATAAAATGAAGGACGTCGACCCCACATATCTTGCAAATAGCCGAACACATAATTCCCGATCAAACCTCCAACACCAAACAAAACCAAAGCGAGCGTGACCAAGTAGCTTTGATCACAAACAAGGTTCCACTATATGAATCAACAAAGAGTAGTGCAATACTTAATAACCTGATACCATGTAGATGCGTCGTATAAAATATTACCTCTGTAACCACCGTGTTGCTGTACATGGTGCGATCGTAATACCAGCCATGTTGGCATGCTTGTATTTGCGCATGGCCTGGATTACCTATTTGCCAGACCTTATCCTGTTGCAACTCAATAGGCGTACGATATTCCATATACCGCACAATATCCGAGTAGTTACGATTGTACATTATGCAACTTTCGTAATCAACGCTGTTATTTGAAACACCGAATGGTATGCTAAGATTTTTCACCAATATCCCATAGTCCTGCGCCCATGGTTCCAGTTCAGGTACACGGCACCAGTGTTTCGGCGACGCTGCGATAAACAATTGGCTATGGATTTAGATAGTTTATTTGTTACAAAAGGTTTACGACTTTCTCATTCACCTGTAAGCATGGAAGGCACAGGGTAGCGCGGCAGGCAACAGTACCGAGCAAATAATAATTTTTTGGTACAAACCAAAGGATCCGACCTCTTTAAGTACTTCATCAAAATCCATGGGTGGTATGATAATCAGACGGTTGAACAAATTTTCATAACTTCTTAAGTAGATGGCTTCCTAAAATGATTGCGCCACAATCCGAACTATGCGCGACACAAAAGCCCACTTGGAACTGAAGGCGCGCGCGACACAACCCAAGTTAATGGGGATAATGCTCATCAATTGGCAGCCCCCAATATTTTGTAAATTCATAATTTTATGAGTCGCTGAGGTTTGGTTGCATTGCTGATGATAGTGATGGATGTTTCTATGAACGTTGTTTTATTCATCTTTCAAATGTGTGACGCCTTAGTTGCTCTGTCGACTTTATTTGTGGTTGTTTAGATTCACGAACTCAATTGGTCATAATTACATTATGGGCACTAGTCTGTTTAATTAATTGGCCACCATAGCGCTGCCAAGGTCTCTGTCTCAATGGGAGACTCAAAGACCACATGGTTTCTAGTTTGAGCATATATACATATACAAGTATGTAACGTGGGACCCTATATAATCTGCCATAACACACAAGTTTTTTAATATGATTAGTTTTAAACTAGTAATTTTACTTGGTTTTTTCGGTAGTATTGCTGGCACTTCCGCATTGGCAGAATATATTTTGATTAGCTTGAACCAGCTAAGGGTATTTATTTTTGGGTATTTAAGTTATTGTTAGCGTTACCAAAAATCATGGTGGTCATGAAATTGGATTACTTAGTTTCAAGACATCCGAAATGCGTTGTTATACTTCTTAAAGTCTTCCTTTCTATAAATAAACGTAATTTTCTCACACAATAGTTTTGAAAAAGTTAGAGCCCAAGTTATGTTAGATTAGCTTGGATCATAGATTTGATCAGCATACCAAAGGTGGCACAGGATCCCCCTTGGACAGCTGTGCACGCTGGTCTTTTGTGACACTCAAAACTTCTAGAAATGGATCACCAAACTCTCATAGATCGACCAATCGTTTTAAGTTAAGCGTGTGTTTAGCGAGATATTTCCACCACAGCCTGGGAAAAGCTGGACAAAAGAGGAGAACTTATATAGATTCATACATACGGAGTACTGACCTTTTCAAAATCTGATAAAATTGGTTTAAGGTTAAGTTAGAGATTAAAATAATATTTTTATGATGCCAACAGCTGCCATACGTAGTTCGTATGAAATAGCAGCTAAAGTTAGTTTTTGAAACTTTGTACGCCCTCATCCGTTTAAGCTTTTGAGTTCCGTCTGTCGCCAAGGAAGGTCTAAATTACGTTAACAATCTGTTTCTTGAAGCAATTGTTAAAGAATCTTTCTATTTATGTATTGTGATTTTATGTGGATCTTCAAACAAAAATTATGAAAACTAGCCCTAATTCTTGAATTCTGTCATTTTGGTTGAAGAATCAAAACCTCATTCAACTACTGGGTTGCTGTGAATACTTTTTATGAGATTATTTTTTATTTGCAACACAAAGCATGCATCAGAATAAAGAGAAATTTTTATTTTTTAAACTCATGTATGGATGTATGTATACATATATCGCATAATTTCAACGTATATAGCTGGAAAAATGCATTAAGGCATTACCTCACTGATGCTTGTACTATTATTAGTACCATAAGGACGGTATTCTCCTAACTACAAGTAGTATGTGTACATGTTAGACAACTATTGTGCTTATTACGAGATAAATTAAGTTTTTTTCTCACATAATATCGATAATCCCACATTTCTATGTAATTTGACTTCATAATAGCTAAGTCTTAAAATATTTATATACAATGGCTTTAATATTTAATAATAGACTTCATGTCTGACATTTTGCGCTCGAAATCACTTTAGTTCAACGCAGTAGTTAAAAAAATGTTTCGAATCATCGAAATCCATCAAGATCTGATAATTAAAGAATTACGAGCAAGAGACGGCAGAAGTAAGTCAGACCAATAATGCTAGGCTATTTATAGAGCTAAGAAATAGTTTATTTAAAACACATGCTATTTTTTAATTTTTTAAATACATTTATATAAATTAAATATTATAAAAGTAATATTCAACAAAATAACTTCAAAAATATACATATAAAATCATTAATAGTAGCACATTCCAAACTCGTGTGTATTATTGTAATTTTTTCATTCAGCTGTCTACAAGTCCCATTAGGCTTAGTATATACATGAATATTGTGACAATATCGATGTAAATACTAAGCGCTGCAAATATATAATCCTCTGGACTAATCGCGTACCGATGGTTACCGCCCAACATCATTTGTATATCAAAGATCAGATAGAAGGAAAAGATGAGAATTCCAAGTGAGCAGTAAACTATCAAAAGCGTACGCGAAGGCACAAATATTGCTACGAGTCCGATAATAAGCAAAATGATTGAGCCAACTAAAAGGATGGCACCACAGGCTGTAAAGTCTATGGCGGTTTGCATCGCAAACACGGTGAGCACAAGAACAACGAGAGTCGTTATGCCCAGCGAATATAGGACCTGTGTTGAAATGTTGGAAAATTGTATTATAACCATCGGTATGCACATTCAACGTTTATGTTATTGAATACTAACCGTATCGGGCGAGTATCTAATGGCAATACAACCTAGCAAAAATGACTCGGCCAACGTAAAGAGTATTAGTAGTATGAAGTTTAGGGGAAAGCTGCGACGAACGCCTTCACAGCATGCGATCGGTATCATAATAGCGACAATGCAACCCAATGCCACCCACATCAGCCAAGGACGTTCGTCTACGAAATCCTGTATCGCATCGACGTAAACGAACGCGAAGATAATTCCGAATGTTATAAGCAGTTGAATCTGCAAACATTTATTGGCGCATATCATTGGTTCGGAAGTGATTTTACTATCGTACTATTTATACTCACCGCAATGATACCAAAGACCTTCGTTATGAACGCATGCCGTACGTATCTGTCGTCAAAATCTTCTATAGTCAAACTTTCCAAATCGCGTCTATGCATTTTGGGTAATAAATTCTGGTGACTCATGCAAATCTGTATATACGATTATAAGAAGTTTTGAATAACTTTCTTTCCGTTTTCCTTAACTCGTTTTCGTTGAAAAAATGTTGAATATATAATGAATGTGCTGTTAGAAACTTCCAATATTTCGTGATTTATTTACACATTTTGAATTTTTTCCCAATCGTCATTGACAAACTTGAGTTTTTAAATAATTGCATACAAACATGCTTTCATAATCGAAGTACTATATACTCCAGATTTCGTGGTTTGACTTTGTGGGAGCTTTCGAGTTTTTACTCGATTCGAATTGCTTTGTCGATAGTATTGACCAGATTTTTAATCCTGTATACCATTTTAATACTGTCACCATCTATATCACCATCATATTTGGCTCGTATTTTAATAAAAATATTTATTATCGCCTTCAAAATAGGTTACTTTTCAGCCAATACAAGCGTATGCTTAATACAGTGATTCATACATTTGTTATAAGCCTCGGCTGGAATGTCCATCAGTGCTTGCAGCGAATTTTGATTTTTCGGTTTCGGCTCATTTTTGGAGCGCCATTTGCTAGATTTCGACGTCAGAGGCTCACGTCTTGTCACCAGTAATGATGCGTTTGATGAATGTAAGATCCTCAGCTACGTTGTCAAGCATCTCTTTTGAGACTTCGTCTCGACGCCATTTTTGCAAAAGATTTAGGATTTTTGGTACGGGTCAAGCACTGTCAAGCTTTATATCCAAAACATTAGCCAAAATGTGTGGAGTCGATCGATAAGAGATATTGAGATAAATAAATGAATCTCTTTGGTGTGAACACGATGATTTTCAAGCTCTTTTTCTTTAACTTTTTTGATGTTACCATCAATAACAGAGGTATATGGATGACTTATATAAGGCAAGTTTTCGATGACTTCACGATCTTCGCTAAATGCCTTAGGCCACTTTAATACTTGTGTTCGTGAAAACGTAGACTCCCCAAAACACATCTGCTACATTTTCAACGATTCTGTTGTTGAAACTCCATTAGAAACAAAATATTTCAAGCAAATTCGTTTTTTAATTATTTTTCCACAGTAAAAATCGCTAAACAATTTTTCACGTCGTAAACAAACAGCTACCAAACACTCACTAGTTGATACAGGATACGAGTCCGGGTAAAATTTGATCAGATGTTATATACTGAGGCTCAGAATAAAAGACCCTGATGTAGACCTTGATCTTGCAACCTAATTATTGACAAGCAGTTCTTTATACTAAATAGTTCATTGTACCGCGAATTGCAATTTAGTGTGAAGGGTTTGATACGAAGGCAATGCCAATTAAAGTCCTCTTAAATTGAGACCAAAGCAAATACCTTTTTTTACGTCTTTTTTTGTTACACAAGTTTTTAAATTTAATTACAAAATTTATTTTAAAGCGTTTGTTCTATCGTAAACTCATTACCTTTTTTAAATACAAAATCTCTGTTATTAAAACTAAATTTGACCATTTAGTTACGGGAAGCACCAATAATAGCCAATATATATATGAAGATATTTATGATATCCAAGTAAAGATTAAGCGCCGCAAAGATGTACTCTTCCGGACTAATTGCATACTTATGTTTGCCGCCCATCATCAGCTGTGTATCGTAGACTAGATAGATGGAGAAGATTAATGCACCAATTGATGAGTACACAAGCGTTATCACTTTTCCGGGTATGAAGATCGCCACAATACCAAAAATGAGAAATACCACAATGGCAACCATTAAAATGCCACCACATATGGTGAAGTCCCATTTAGTTTGGAAAGCGAAGAGTGTCAAAGCAAGACATACAGCGGCTGTGATGCCAACGGCCAACATAACCTAAAAACCATTTTCATAAGATTAAGTGTTGATCTTAGAAATGCTGAAGTTCCCTTACCTCGCTGGCAGCATAGTAGGTAGCTGTTACACCAAGTAGAAAAGACTCGGCCAATGTGAATAGAAATAGAAATATAAAATTTAACGGTGTTTGACGGCGTACGCTCTCACAACAGGCCAAGCATAACATGGTTACCACAAGCACTGCCAACGCCACCCAAAATATCCATGACGTCTTGTGAACCCAATCATTGACTGCATCTACGTATACAAAGATCGTGATAATGCCGAAAGTGATGAGCAATTGCACCTGAATAGAAAGTATCTCAATTAATTGTCCAAATAAGTGAAGCATATATCACATACCATTAGTATCGAATAGACTTTGCGTATGAAGCCCTTTCGTATGCTCTCTTCGTCGAAGGAGAAGCTTTTCGCACCTTCAGCATCGTAATTGTGATCTGTATAAGCGGCTAAGAAAAAATTAGTATACCAATTAAGATGACTTGTGTTTGTATGTGTGAAGTGTGCATTTGTGGTATATTCGTGTGTGTTCTTGTCAGTTAAAAGTAAGCATCTGGAACCGTTAAAACGACTTTCTTCAAAAAGTTACATTTTTTCTGCAAATATACTCTTCCACTCTCTCGATACCGTATGTGCTTTTTATAGGTGATATTAAAGAGATTTATTACTGAAATTTTTCAAATGATCGAGGAATTCGCAAAGATCATTAAAATAAGCCCAGAAAGTCTAACAATCATCCGAGTACGTTTTGAGTTAAGTAATTGTTTTGTGCCGGTATTTCGAATCACGGATTTCTGAATATGAATCTGATTTTTTTAGATGGTTAAGAGTCTTCTCTGATCGCACAAGATACATTTTCTGGAAATCGAATTCTTAGCGGAGGGGATACCGAATAACTTATACCAACGACATTGAACAGGGTATTTTAAGTTTGCCACACTCAAATGGATACATCGAAGACCATATAAAGTACATACAGCTGAATCGAACTAGTCCCTCAGTTTTTGAGAAACCGATCTGAAATTTTGCATACGTCCTTGTCTCCTCAGGAAGCTGCTCATTTGTCGGAATGGCCGATGTCGGACCACTAAAGCATATAACTGGTATACAAACTGATCGATCAAATACAAGTCTTTGTATGGAACACTATTTTATTTGATAAGATTTCTTCACGAAATTTGGCATGTATTGTTTTCCAAGGCAATCTCCGAACAAAATGCTTAGATCAGACCTCTAAAGCATCTAGTTGTTATACTTGTACTAACTCACCGATCAAAATTAAGTTCGTTTATGGAATATTTTGTATTTGTAAAGGGTATTATGACTTCGGCGCTACCGAAGTTAACGTTTTTTTTATTTTTTTTTGTTACATTAAATTTTTTACTAATGGCTGCCAACATATTTGAAACAGGGTGAGCCTACACCCGAAGCATGCGATTATTAATTTGCAGATAGATTTTGATAATAATTAGCCCAAATAACTGATAAGGTGATAAGAATTCACATTAATTTATGAGTGTATGTGCACAATGTTTGTGCGTGTATTCGAGTATATATGTTTGTGTATACTAAATTTATTATAAATGTGCAGCTACGGTGTAAGTGCAAAATATGAACAGAAGTAGGCTTTAGTCCATTTAGAAGCATAAATAACTATAAAGCAGTATAAAATTGAGTGAGAAATGCTTAAACAGCAGCAGCAATAACTTGTAACAATGCTCGCAAAAACTTTTTGCTTATTTTCTAACACTTCAGTACTTGGAACTTTTTTTTGAGGCAACAGGACAGTCCGAGGGTTATGAATTGCTGCTATATTCTAAGATGTGCTAAATGAAAGAGTTTGTTTAGTACAAACACCAGTTACATATGTTGACACTTATATGTAAATATGCCGGTTATTTTTTCATCAAAAAAAAAAACTCTTGCAGAAGAGTTTTCGGCAGAAGATTTGTAGAATGAACTCAAGTAATGCCTTTTTTGGTTGGCGAACGCGTCCAAATTTTGTATTTCTAGTATATAGTGCTCTATAACGCAGGTGTCGCGAAAAACAGACGCCTTTTGATGTAGCTATTTTAAACCACGCTACTGTACATAACATACATATGTGTGTATATACAATAAATCAATTTCCCACTTTTCTAGACCATGCTAGAATGAACTGTAAGCTCATCCATTTAAGGTGAAAAGGTCTAACTACTTGCAAATACCAAGCAAAGCTGAAGACAAACATGTCGAGAATGTTATACCATACAAATGTAAATCGGTAGTTAGAAACAAAAGTCGCAACAATTGCCACAATATACTTGTACCATGACTCATACTCGTCACTCGTTTATCACTTAGTTAATATAAAATATTATCAAACTTATGACGGCTAGTGGTACACATTCCATTAATTACTAATCTTTCGGTACCAGTACATATATGTATTTCATGTCTTGACTCTGATTTCTGGTAGAGTTTTAGCGACAGTATTGTAATTTTTGCACTCGGGATTCCCCGATGTGTTTACTGCACTCTTGTATACGGATTTGTATATATGCATATATACTTGCCTTGGTACATTTTTCACTTTGGTTTGCAAAACTTAAAAATTTTATTTAAAAAAAAATTATAAAGGAGTGTTAAATGTAATGAGGTACAGCGAGCGTATAAATTCGTACTGACGCTTTTCCAGTCGAGTATCCACCGTAATAGTTAAGGCACGCAGGTGTTTGATTCCAGCACAATTTGTTGATAAATTATTTAACTTATCTTCTGATAACGAAACGAATTGATAAACATTCCCAAGAGTGTCTGATTCCAATTCGCTTATGGAAAAGTTATGAAAGAAAAATGAGAGCGCGGGTGTAAATTTAAACTAAATAAAGTAATTGCTCGAATCAAATGAAAACAAGCAAAAACTTTAACTTCAGCTGCCGTTAACCGTTTGAAAATAATCCAAGTTAAATTTCGTGAAGATATCTGTCAAATAAAAAAGATTTCCACACAAGAACCTGATTTGGATCGTTTAGTTTGTATGACAGCTATATGCTATGGGGGTGCGATATCGTACGTTCCGACAAATGAGCAGCTTCTTGGGGAGAAAATATGGGCTATTCAAACCAACATTTACATTCACACATTTTTTTCTTACAAAAAATCGAAAAGCTGATATTGAAGATTAAAAATTTATTGCGGACAGAGTTTTTACAGTCCTTTCTAAAAGTCCTGACTGAAGAGCCTAATGTACATTTTTCATTAAATAAAAAAACTGAGTAAAAATAGTTCCAAATTGATAAAAAAAAATATTATTTGTTTATAAAAATGTACCTTTTGTATATAAAAAAAATTCAATTTATATCTCATTGGAAAGCTAAGAAAATATAATATAATTTTCTTCGCATACGCAATTGTTTAAACGTATTTTTTTCGAGCGGAATAATCTATATATGTATATTATATAGGGTTCCTTTTGGGTTTTACAAACTTTGTGACAGATTTCACATACGCTGTTCAGGGTAAAAAAATTTCTGATGCTTTACAATATTTAAAAGGTACGAAAAAGGGTATTAAGTTAGCCATATCTATGAAGATATACCAAATTCATTTATTGCAGAATTAATAAACAACAGAAATAGTTTTATATAGAATAAATACTTTATTGTAAGTTATTTTTTGAAGTTGCATATATATATATATATATATTATTACATTAATTCAGTTATTAACCAACAAATTGTACATATGTTTATGTTGATTTCAACGGTTTTCATTAGTTCAATAGGACTTTTTAGTACATACAGTTCAATAAATCGTTAAATAAATACTTTTTGTATTTGCCGTTCGTGCTTGAAAACCGTTCAGCGGGAAATCTATAGCGACTATGATTTGGTAACAATAACAATTTCCCTTTTTTGGAATAAGCGAATAGTTTCGTTTCATTACTTACTTTTGATAATATTGTATTTTGCAAGTATGAAGCCTAAAATATTAAAGATTCGTTCATCTTATTAAATAATATGTACTACAGCTAACAAGATAATAAAACAATAAAAATCAAAAGTACCTTAATAAACAAAACAATAGTTGATTAGCAAATATTCATTAAGTATGAGCATAAATTCCTACATATATTATTGTAACAGTTCCAATATTTTTTTTTTTTACTTTTTGGTCTGGGTTTGTTTACTGGTTTTCTCAAAAGAGATTAATGCTTTTCACCGGTAAATATCAAATATTGTTTTGGAAAAATCACCACACGTATTGACAACTGTGCTTTAATTTAAGAAAAATGTTGAACAATAAAGATTCGATGCACTAATGGTTACTGATAATAAAAGTTTTGTACTAGCACAGTATAAATTAAAAAGTTAATTTGATTTGAGATTCAAAAAAATAAATACACATAAACATTTAATAAGTTCAAAACCAGGTGTACATGTATAATGCTAAGAAAAAATTTTGAAAATGGAAAGATATTGAAAACGATTATGCAACTGATTTTCTAAGATCTATTGATCTGGCTTTGCAATATAAGCTTCAAATACATTTACTTCTAGTCTCTGGATGCGCCTATTATTGTCAAAATGTACATGAAGATGTTTACAATGTCCAAGTACAGATTAAGAGCAGCAAAAATATATTCCTCTGGACTAATCGAGTACTTATGATCGCCGCCCATCATAAGCTGAGTGTCGTAAATGAGGTAAATAGAGAAGAGAAGTGCACCGATGGATGCATAAACCAATGTAATGATTTTTCCTTTGATGAATATGGCCGCAATACCGAAAACAAGGAATATGACCATAGCCACAAGTAAAACACCTCCGCACATGGTAAAGTCATATTTGGTTTGGGTGGCAAATAGTGTTAGAGCCAAACAAACGAGAGCTGTAATTCCGACTGCTAGAAGTACCTAAAGAATTTGAAAAAAAATGTATTTTAATAAATATAACAATGAAAAGTGATGATCAAATACTCACTTCATTGGGTGCATAGCGACTTGCGGAAACTCCCATTAAAAACGATTCTGCCAGTGTGAACAAACCGAGGAAAATGAAGTTCATTGGAGTTTGACGACGTACACTCTCGCAACAAGCCATGCAGATCATTGTTACAAGCAATACGACCAACGCTACCCAGAAGATAGCTGGATTTCTGTATGCAAATTGTTTGGTGGGTTCATGGAATACAAATAGAGCTACAAAACCAAAAGTTACAACCAATTGACCCTGTTTTATCAAAAAAAAAAAAAATCATTAGTAGTTTCATTTGGCTGAAAGAGTAATCGTTTAACATACCATAAGTATCATGTAGACTTTGCGAATAAATCCTTTGCGTATGCTCATATCGTCGAAAGAGAAATTCTTTGGTTGACCTTCGGGATCATCGTAGGCGCCATAGCCACCGCCCGCTGGAGGTGGCACGACAAAGCCGGGTTGTGGTGCGTAACCACCAGGTGGGTATCCTCCTGCTGGTGGATAACCTCCCGTTGGTGGATATCCTCCTGCGGGTGGGTAACCACCCTGTGGTGGATAACCGCCCCCTTGTGGAGGGTAGCCGCCTTGTGGGGGGTAGCCGCCTTGTGGTGGATAACCGCCATAATATTGCTGGTTAGGATCTGTGATGATGATGTGGAAGTCATGTTACGTCAATTAAAGCTTTTTGAATAGTACTATTAATTCATAACTGAAGACTTGTATACAAGATGCTTTAACAAATATGAACATAATATTGCATATTAGAGGAATGGACAATACAAATGTTTCAAGCACAAATGCATATTCGAACACTTAACGAAAGGATTTACATGTGTGTGTACGATTTTATGAATATTTTTTGTTTTGATATCTATGAATTGATTATTGTAGCAGTATTACTTTCCACAATGTTAATAGCTTCACCAACGATAACATATAATTTGATTGACATAAATTTTCATTAAGGAATAAATGTAGGTATATTATTATGTATATATATATCTAGTGGATTTGAAATTGTATTTAGACAGTTGTTTTCTGAATGGTTTTAGCAGCTGAGAAACATGTACGTATGAGTAGTACTAATTACATGTGGCTAAACTAAGAGCATTTCCTAAGTATCTTTAACTTGTATTGTTAAAAAAAAGCAGACATGTTTTAACCACTTTATATAATTTAATGATAACAATCACTTTAAACATGCAACTACAAATTACTTGAGTAGTTGAGTTAAAAACAAAAATACTTTGATTAACCTTGATACGTTGGGCCAGCCTGCCACGACATTACTAGTAACGTTTATTGAATTCCAGATAATGAGACGTTCTCAAATATTTCAAAACAGTTTTCGCTTTTCCAATTATTGATGGAATTTTTAAAAACTATGAATGGCTAATTGGGGATGTATAAAAAAGAAAAGCAAGAAGATTATTTAGTTGAGGCCTTGTATAACTTACCCATATTTTATGCTTATAGATTAAAGTGGATATTAGACCCTTTTAAAATACCTGCAAAATATAACAAAAATTAAATAGACGCAATTCGTTAATATAAATATTATTTTAATTTAATTTAAAAAAAATGTATATATAATAAATTAATGTGCTTTGGAATTCAAAATGATCATCCACCAAGTCTATCGCTCATATGCATTTATGATCCTAAGTTTTAATAAATCACATATTATAGGCATTTTTCTTTTTTATCAAATTTCGCAATGGTAGTGACGACATTTAATTTCAATACTACAGCAATTTTATATTCTACTAATACGAGGTTTCACAAAATGCCTTTACCTTGCCCTGCTCATACCCGAAAGCTAGCATCGTTTTTATACGGTATAGACTGTAGGGTGTAAGAGAAAGATTGATTACAGAGAAATGACTCATGGGATGCAGAAGACCACAACAGTTGGCCTCCAATTGCCTTTCAAAGTGTAAGTATAAAAAAAAACTTTATCAATTCACTTATATACAACTAAAAATCATACTAATTGGCTTTTGCTGCAGTCAGAATTACGATAAAGTCACGATAATTAAATTTCCAGAAACATCTTTTGCACATGTTTACGAACACATATAATATTGCTTGGAATTTTTGCACATGTGTAAACAATGAATTTTCTATTTTTAATTACCTTCTAAGAATATGACGTTTTGCAACAGAAAATTGTTGGATATATATTTTCACTTTTACTTTGGCAGCAACGCAAAAACGTTATTTGTTTTGGTCTCGGTACAATTGCAATTGCGGCAGATACGACGAAAATTTTCTTATTGAAGCACAACCAACCACAGGCAATTTTACGTTACTGAAGCATATTGCACAGGGTTGCTTTGGTTCAGAATAAAACACTTTTGTATCGTTGGTAAACGTTAAGTGAGTGCAGCAACGTAACGTAATGTTATGTAATACTTACTTAAGTCTAGTTTTAAATTTTTATAATGGTATAATTTAAGTGATTATATTATATTATCTTTGCAAGGAGAGGCTCACACTCTGTCAAAATGTAATGTTTTAGCATTTTTTGTACAAAGAACGGTTTAAAAAGTTAAAATTGTTTAAGCAATAATTTATTTTTAATGTTGCAAGATTTAAAAAGATTTATTTGTCCTATGCATCAAAATTTAAATGATCGATAATGTTATGTGTTTCAACAATAAGAGGAAGTAAGGTTTTTGATTGTTTTTGTATTAAATGAATGCTGAATGAAAACTTTAAAGCGTTTTCCCCACAACACACGTTTCCAAAGTCGGCGTCCCTCATAACTTTAAAATATACAGCACCATTTTGATTTTTGAGGTAGCACTGGAGAGTTTTCTAAATTAGATAATATTTTTAATTTTACAATAACAAATAAACCGGGTTTTTCACAAAAAATCAGTTTTTTCCTTCAAGTCTTCCCAAAAAGTGAAATGAATGATTTATATATCAAAAAACCTCCTGCTTTACCGGTGCAAAGCGATTATCTAACGATATACTCTTTCCAGATTTCAAACGATTCAGCACCGAGTTATGAGAGGCCAGTAATTCAACTTTTTTCCGAGACATTTCGGAGTAATTTCTGTCATGGCCGTATTTTTTAATATTTATCCATGTAAATTTAACAGAATATTCTTAAAATGTCAGACTATAATGTATCATTGCGTTTTTTAAATGTATTTTAGCTGGCTCTGGGCCTTTACTCAAACTAACTCTTATCCCTCTCAAATATTTAATTTTTCATAAATATCTATAGATATTTTAAATATTTAGGCTAAATAAGTAAAACAAAATTTTCTTTAATTATATAATTTTATTCGTTTAAATTTCCTATTTAAATGAGTTTTAAAATTTGCTTTATTAACTTTTCTAAATTTTTCTTTGTTTTAGTTAAAAAATTGTTTTTACTTAAATTTGAACACAAATGGAATTAAAAAGAGAAAACAATAATAAATAAAATTACTACTATTTAACCAGATTGCGGGAAAAGTAATGATGATTTTGTAGGCGTGTCCGCAGATTCATTATCTAAATCTGTGAGATTATTTGCTGAGCTTACCTGAAAAAAGATAAGATAAGAAATGCATTACATGTACAAGTATATATAAATAATGATTGATATTGCTTTTAAATATTTACAGGCGTAACGGAAGTAATAATAATTTTCGTATGAGATCTTTGTTGCAGTAGAGCGGTATCTTCTGCCGCCACTTCGCAGTCGAGATCAACATTAGCACCGGCATCACTATCAATCTCCCATGAGGGGTAATGATCCATTTCACCTTCGCAATTAAGATCCTCCTCTTCGAAGTCTTCAACCTCATCAATGAGTATAACTAGAAACAATTTTGAAAACAAGTTTTGATTTAGAGTAGATATTTTTTATTATAAATTTAATATATTTTCAGCGAATAATTCATTCGCAACTTACTTGAGTTTTCCTTTCGTAAATTCGGTTTTAGGCTACTACTTAAGGGTTCATTTAGACCAGGTATCGTTATAGCAAAATTATCTTCTTTATAAATTCCTCTATCACAAGGATTGGAGGCGGATCTGCGTGTAATTAAACACAAACACTCGTTTATTTAAAATAATGATATTTCATGTAAATTACTCACCTTAGAGTTACTCGTTTTTTTGGATTTTCTATTTCGGAAATGACATTATCACTATATAGTTTAAAAGGACTAACCGACGCTAAATCAAAGGATGGCGCAAACGCACGCGCATCGGAAACCTGCAAAATATAGACTAGTTTAAAGTATTGATAAAATAATGAATACTTAAAATACTTGTAACAGTTTTAATTTAGTAACGTTATTTATTTTATAACTTGTTTACTTTGCTCATTACCTTATTGTCATCCCTGACCCCGATTTTCGTCGCCGAGAAGAAATCTCTTCTAGCACTGATTGTCGCATGTGTATTATTAGTGTTATTACTATTACTAGGTTTATTATTGCCCGCTGCCCAATCGCCCCGTTTCGAGTGATCTTCATTGTTATTATTGGAATGTTTAACTACAGGCTGTGTAGACAATGGAAGTGCTAAGAAGCGTTCACGATCCTCCATATAAGCTTTAATAAGTACATCTAATTTTTCTTCGATATCAGCGACCTAAAAATGAAAAAAAAAAATTATATATTGGAGTGAAAATGTACGACATGTTTAAAAGTAGCAAGATGACTTTTTTGTATACATCCATCAAAGCCATTCAAATCTCTTAACGTTTCTGTTACTAATTTTTCTTCCACTTCGAGGTTTCCTCAAAGGATTTCAGTAATTATGGTATATTCACTTCAAAAAAATCGATTATTCGCTTGTATATCGAATATATACTTATTTTAATATATTCTCCGAAATGATATGAGATAAGATTGTATTTATAAGAATTTTTCACTTCGTGTATACGGCAACCAATACTTTAATCGCGTTTTTCTCGAAATACTGTTTTCAGAGTCGGTAAGGAAAATTTCTCTGAAACGCTTGGATCTATAGATTAGATATAAAGTCAACTAATGATCAAAGGAATAAGATTTTGGATAAAAATTTTTAATTTTAAAGCCGAACTGATATGTAAATTTTTGCACAAAAAACAATTTTATTTTTTAAGCCGCCATTTTGTCCAAAGTAAAAATTGTTTGCCAGTCCTTCGATCATAATCTGTATAACTTACCACCTATAAAAATAAAACATTTCAAGCAGAAAAATCTTCCTTTCCGCCAGATAACTTACTTCAGAGGTTCTTCTGGAGATCGGCTACGGGATCAAGGACACCAAATTTGTTTTCAATATTATTAAAGTCAATTAAATTCGGTAAACGTACAATATTTTAATTTAATTAATAAATAAAATTTCAAAAAAATTCATAAAAAACGCGTTTTGTTATTAGCAATGGATATAACCCCTAAATGGATGAAACTTTTAAGATATTTTTTCTAAAGCAGTCTTTCAGGAACAAACGAAGAACTTTCTGTAATCGTGCACCAAAACAAATTGATGTAATAGTCAGCTCAATTTGTTTACCCACCATCTGTTTAAAGCTTGTTTCTTACCTGTCGCTCTACTTTGACTACTCGCGAAGCTAGACTAATTTTAGAAGCGTAAACATCTTTTGATTTTGATCCTTGCTTACCAAGGATTTGGTCGAGTCTAAAAATTTTATTGAATTAAAATAATTTAATTTTCATTTTAAAAATGTTTTACAGTTACCTTGCATGTACATTTTTGACCCGACTTAGCAAGTCCACGTGACCTGCTGCATATTGTTCCATCACATCTTTAACGTCATACGGCTTGAGAGCTTCTTTGAATTTGCGCCGAGCCACAAAATATTTCAGCTGCGAAAATAAAAGTGATTTCAAGTGTTAAGTATATAAAAGCAATCTTAATTTGTAGTTTTCTATAAATATTCATAAAATTCATTTAAATTGCTTCTTGAACGGATGGACGGTGGAAGATCAAAAAACTGCAGATAATTAAAGCTCCAATGAAACTTAAAATTGAAACGAAGAGAAACAGAGGAAATAAAAGAAAACAGTTCAAAAGCTGAGCTATCTATTTGGAATTTTCTCTTTTTTCTTTGGTTTTGGTTTCTTAGCTAGTGCTTCCAAGTGCATTGGTTTTTTGTATCGATTTTGTGCTCCTGACCCACATTGTCTCAGTGCATTACACGATCCGCTTTTTAGTATCTAAAATTTTTGTACCACCTTCGTAATTGAGTACACGATGTGAATGTGATTACTCTATGGTGTTTACCTTTCTGATGAATCGTATGGCCGTCTTATGTTGACTCGTCAATTGCGTATATCGCGGCTCCTCGTCTTCATCTGCATACAAAGAAAAATGGCAAAAAAGAAGAAAATAAAAATAGTATGTACCAATTTACGAAAATATATTAAATTACAATTTTACGACAACATAAATAAAGTATTGTACAACAACAATGAATTTTACAATTACAAGTATAAGTATAGCGTAAGTAGAGTAAATATGTTATGAGAGTTCCTATGGTATAATTAGTAAGGTACGAGTATGTAGGTAAATAGTTTAGTAAATATATATGTGGGTATGTAAGGAGTTACTGACAATATCAACTATACTGACGATATGAACTAAACAACTAAATGATGAAGACACATTTTGCGCCGAGTATGCACTACGTGTGCGTGAACAGTTCGCGTTGGAAATACCGAAACATCAAATACAGTTACAACAATGTAAGCAGTCCAAAAGTTCACTATTTCATTATTTGTAAAATAAGAAAAATATTTAGAAAACCAATAATATTCGACTTATTACAACACACACTAAATAAGATTTGTTTTATTTTCGAAGACACAATCGGGTATAACACTTGGGTTCTAGCATGGCTTCTACACGATTTGAATACTGAAGTGGACACAAATTCCGTTTCAGTAACGGTTTTTGTCACAATAGCTATACATACTATTTGTACGAGAACAGCAATTTCGACTACAAAGGGTATCCATAAGTTTACTACACGAGTACCCACACTCTGTGCATCCAGGACGCTTACGTCCAACACCGCCGCCGCCACCAATGGTCAAACCACCGAAGTGACATCGTCCCTCACGCACGCTATTGCCACGCTTGTCATGCACACTGGCCAGTAGGCGCGGCTCGAGGTATTGCGCCCGATTGTAGAGTTCACTATCACAAGTCTCGTCGCAGGTCGTTGTTTGAGGAAGTGAAAAATTCGAACCGAAGAAGTCGCCCTGCATGAAGCCGCAAAGTATCACAGGTACTGGAGAGGGGCTACTGCTCGCATTATTCGCCACTATTTCGTTTTTATTCGGGGGTAGCGGTTGCACGCTTGAAACTTTGTTATTATTGAGAA